AATAGTTTCATCAAGGCAAGGACACCTTATACTCTCCTTTTATAACATGTTTACCTCCTTTCCTGTCCCAAACCCCAGCAACAATTAATCTGCCCTCCATTTCTAAACTTTTATCATTTCAAAAATGTTTTATAACTGGAATCATACAGCATATAATGTTTTGGAATTGACTTTTCTCACTCAGAATAGGTCCCTGAACATTCATCCAAATTGCTGCATGTATCAATAGTTCACTCTTTTTGTCAATAAGCAGTATTCCATGTATATACGTATCCCAGTTTGTTTAACCATTCTCTTTTTGATAGATATCTAGGCTGATTCCGGTCTGTGTCTATTACTATTAAAGCTGCTATTGACATTCATGCACAGGTTTTTGTGTGGATATAAGTTTTCATTTCCCTGGAACAAGTGCCTGAGAGTGTAATTTCAGGATCCCTCTAGGTGAGGGAAGAGAGTTTGGGGCCCAGAGTGACAAAGAGACTTCTTGTATGGGCCAATTGCTGGAGTACCCTCTTGCTGGTTCTTTTCACTCACTTCAGCATGTCTTGGTGGGGTGAGGGAGTCTAAGACATGACTGAACTGGAGAGCACTTCTCTTGGCTGCTTATTATTGGTAGGGCTCCCTGTTGGTCTCCTTTGTGGGAGTTGCTAGGTCAGGGATAGGGAAACGCCAAATCCGAGTTGCCTTCTCTTCCTTTGAGTGGGAGCACATGAGACACTGTGCTGCTGGGTAGTCCCTCCAGTGTTGTAGTCTCAAAGGGCTTCATCTTCTCATCACCTTTCAGATCTCTCCTTTAGTTGTCTCTTTCATAATTTCAGGGACTTAATGAGGAGAAGCAAGGCAAAAGAGGACTATGGAGTCTTGGCTAGACAGGAAATCTAAGTCTAAGCAAAGAGATAGGAAATTCGGGACAGAAAAAGTCTGAGCAATTGGCAATGGGTGTGTTCACTGTCCTTTATTGTCTAGTCAGAACAATGTTACAGAGCAGTGACCCTTACTGGTTTTAGCCTTTTGCATGTGACAGTTTTCCTAGTTTTCATATGTCTAGATCGCCATTCTCACACCCTTGATTATGGGGTGGACGTGGAGTGGGTAGGCAGACAATAGAAGGTTCATTTTCACACTGGGCATCTGTTTCAAAGCCAAGATTCATGCCTCTTTTATAATTTCTTCTAGAACAGAAATGGTTGGGTATGATAAGACCCAACCATAACTCCATGGTCTTATTGAGGTGGATCAGCGGGCAGGTCATCCTTCCCTGTTCTTTAGAACCAACACTGAACATCAAGCTGGCACAAGCTTTGGACAAAGAAACCTGTCAGAGGCTTTGCAAGCATTACATGTTCCATTTGTTGTGAGAGCATGAAATTTACCTTTCTGAAAAAGGAGCACTCAGAATTTTGTTTGACTAATTTAGTAAGTTACAAGATTTTGTATGTCGGTGTTTTTCTTGAGAGACAGAAGACTAATAAATCTATGATAGAGGTCAGGGCACTTTCAGCTTCTGTAGTAGAATTTGTGTAAGAATCTCGTGAACAGTGCTCATAAGAATCTTATAGGTTAAGTATTATTTTCTCTATTTTACAGATTGATGGTGCTCTATCTCAGCAAACATAAATGACTTAACCTCTGGTTAATAAGGGACAAGAGAATCCACTTAGCTTTGAGTCCTAGTGATGATTCAAAAGCCCACGCTGTTCCTTCAATTTAGTTAAACTTTTATTCAGTGTCATGTTTTGTGTTAAGATCCAAGGAACAAATAAGGAGTCAGACATGGTCACTAGATTCCAGGGATTCACACTCTTATGGGTACACTGGACTCTTCGTGTTAACTTTATTTGCACCCCATCCCCAGTCTTTCTTGTTTTGTCCATCCAATAGTAATTAAAGCTAACCCCTATACCTATCATATGCTGGCCTTAGCCAAGAAATGTCCCATTGTACATTTTAAAATTCTGTGATTTTTTTTTCTGTTTCTCTCTTCAATTTTCCTTTAGGTGAAAGTTACATGGATACAGACACAAGCTAAAAATTTGATGGACAATAAGGGACATGTTCCATTTCCCAGTGTAAGTAATCTATTATTCTTTTTTATATCTGATGTCTTAAAAACGATGGCAATGATTGTGTTTCCATTAAAAAAATCATTCTTACATGATTTCCTGAATAAATGACATAAATAGTGCTTATTTAAATGGGAGCTTAATGGGAAGCTTTCATAACAGATTAAATATTTCAATGTTCAAAAATGTAAATTTTATCCATAATAAGAACAAAGTATTTCTTACTTTTTGTATCGTCACTCTCTTACCCTGCTATGGTAAATGTTTTGTCTCTTTTAACTTCATTTAGATGTGGCAGCAGGTAGAGAAGGAAGACTCCAACTATAAAGCTTTTATAGTCAAGGACATCTAGTTAGAATCTTAGCTCTGCCATTCACTTGCTATATGACCTTAGGCAAGTGACATAGCCTTGCCGAACATTAGTGTCTTTATTAAGAAAAGGCATGGGAGAATATACCAACCAACAGTAATGTATTCTCTCACAGTTTTGGAGGCCAGATGTCCAAAATCAAAGTGTCAGCAGGACTCCCACTGGAGGCTCTAGGGGAGAATTCATTCCTTGCCTCTTCTAGATTCTGGTGGCTGCCAACATTCCTTGGTGTTCTTTGGCTGGTGGCCACATCATTCTAATCTCTGCCTCTGTCATCACATTGCCTTCTTCTGTAATCTCCTTCTGCCTGTCTCTTACAAAGACACTAACATGGGCCAGGCGCAGTGGCTCACGCCTGTAATCCCAGCACTTTGGGAGGCTGAGGCGGGCAAATCACCTGAGGTCGGGAGTTCAAGACCAGCCTGACCAACATGGAGAAACCCCATCTCTACTAAAAATACAAAATTATCTGGGCGTGGTGGCGCATGCCTGTAATCCCAGATACTTGGGAGGCTGAGGCAGGAGAATTGCTCGAACCTGGGAGGTGGAAGTTTTGGCGAGCCAAGATCACGCCATTGCACTCCCGCCTGGGCAACAAAAGCGAAACTCCATCTCAAAAAAAAAAAAAAAAAAAGACACTAAAATGTTATTTACAGTTCACCTGGATAATCAAAGATAATCTCATCTCAAAAGCTTAACTACATCTTCAAGACCTTTTTGCTTATAAGGTAACATTTACCTGTTCCAGGGATTAAGACTTGATATCTTCAAGTGGCCATTATTCAGCCTACTACAGGATCCATTTAGGTAAAGCTTAGTGGGTATATCTATGTATTTTCACAGTCATTTTCTTGTGCAGTTGTTACTAGCCATCCTGATAGAATAATATAATTCTACTTCCCATGATGCTAATTTATCTCTCACTGTAACATGAAGGTTCAGGATCATATTGTGATATGAACCTGTCCTTTGGAACTTGGAACCAGGAGTATAAAGGTAGGTAGTGGAGGAGAAGCAAATACAGGGAGCCAGAAACTGATCTGTGAAAAATAATTGTAAATATCACAGTGTATCTATGAAAGAAATTTGATAGAGATTTTTGTACATTTGGAAATCCTAATAATGCACCTGTCGTTGTCAATAACAGGTTGTAAAGTGGAAAGAAACTTCTTAAACTATGGATTTTTAACAAATTTCCACCATTTGCGCTAGAAAAAAGACTGAATTATCTTTCTGTTTTCCATATAGAAAATATTATAAAAGACTAAGGAATATGCAGTCAAAATGTAGAAAATAATGTACAGTAGAGGTGTATCAGGCAGTTAATTTGTCAAAAATATTAATTTTTGGAAATTTTCATGGTATCTGCCAGGTTTTAAAGATTTTGTAAGTTGTTGTGTTTTCTCATTCTAAATAAAAATTAACTTTTGCAGTTGATTTTGTATGTATCTTCTAAAATGGCTCCCCAGAATTGTTCAAATTTTAGGTACAATAAAACCTAGAAGAGCTCAGGCCCTTTCCAGAATGTTCTGTGGTTCAGGCATGCTCTCTTGAGAGTGAGTGAAAGGACAGTTTATCATATGCATAAAGGGGAGCTGCCTCAGGAGACAGAGCTCTTCAACAATGACAAGAAGTCAGTCTTCTTTACAGCTTGGCAAAGCTGGCAACACAGAGCAGTTGCTCTCCAGTTACTTGTCTGGGGTATCTTCCTCAACTTGGTGCTTCTCCCAAGTGTGGCCACAAAACCAAATACTTACGGTGATTTGTTGAATGAGGGATGTACAGTGCATTCATCCATTCTTTGCATGCGCTCATCTCTTTCCCTGGACCAAGGTAGACCATCAGAAATGTGTGTGGATGTCCCTGGCGAATTGCTCTTCTTGGATTATATTTATATGGTGGCACCAAGGGAAGTGTGAGAAACTTCCCTTTGAACCTGTTTCTGTATTTACTGTAGGGATGCTGTTGAGGAAGTTGTCCATTATATTCCTGTTTATGAGAACCCAGGGGAGACATTTCTCTCTGGCTCTTTTGAGTATCAGATCTGATTTTTTATCGTATGGATGTTGTAAGACATGTGCCTGGTTTTGTCTCTCACATCTCACGTCTCTTGTGAAACAATGGGGACTTAGAACATGCATTCGGGGCATCAATATTACCCCTGGCTCCATCTCAACTACTTTTATTTTCTCCTCTACCCTACTTTTCTTATTTGCTTCTTATTGGTTTTTATCTTATATAATTAAATGTATTTATGTAAGCCACCCTAAAATTAGTATGCAACAATGTGGGCAGAAATAATCATTTAAAAACCATGTTAAGTGATTAAAACAACAATAAAACATCTAAAGCACATTTCCCCTCAAGGCATTATTAATTACCTGATATTTCTGCACAGGCCTTTTGCCAACAGGTCAGAATCATATTAGTGAAAAAGGACCCAGGTTTTATTAATGAAACTTTAGACATTTTCAGTGAAAAGAAAAAAAAAATCTTATTGTTTCCCCATTTACGTTTTTCTTTTCCCTTTTGCATTATATTGTTCATTTAAGAGTACAAAGGTTCTCTGAAGTCCCCAGTTCTTTTTTATTTAAGTAGTTTTAGTCAAATTACACATAACAAAGATGACAAAGGCCTTTCTAATCTTCAGTGCTTTCTGCTCCTGGGAAAACTCAGGCCTCCTGTTCTTGTTTCCCTTTCCTGAGTCAGCGCTTGGCTAGTCCAAGGCTATGGGGCTCCAGGTCAGACAGTTAGAAATAATAAGCATAGAGAGATAGAAGAAACAACAGCCTACAGTTTAAATTTGAAAAGGAGACTTGCTCTTTAGGTGGCAGAATAACTTTGTTGTTAACACAGTTCTGAAAAGAAGGACTAGGGCTATGGGGTGTCAAGAACATGAAAAACATGGTGTTTCTTTAACCTCACTTAAATTAATTGTGATGCTAAACTACAGAGTGGGATAATACCCCTGTTTGGCTTCTCCTTGACCTCTGTGTAGCATTCCTTTCTCCCAGGACCCCTCTGGAATGAGGATCTTATGACTTACTGTCAGACAAGGTAGGTCAGAGAATTTCTTTATGGCCATCTCCTACTGTTGTGCCAGACCCCTACTGACTCCAACAGGGATAGCATCATGTCCTAGAGGCAGAAGAATAGAGGAGATCTGGAACCAGCAAAACACACATAGGGTTTATTGAAGACTTACATATGGGGCAGTCCAGTGGTGGTGGGCCGGACCGAAAAACTGCTACCACCTTCCACCTAGCAACCTCCATATAACCCAAAACAAAGGACCTTAATCCCCTGTATGGCCTGCATTCCAAGGCATGGGCCAGGGGGTTCGTATGTCCTTCACAGACAAGGAGAGAATCTCTAGGTTTGCCACTCCTGGATTTCTTAGCTCAGAGCTCCAAACACACATTCTTCTTAGACTTGAGGGTCTTTCTCAGGGTATGCTTAAATTGTTGCTGTCAGATGCATCTACTATACACCTACACAGAAAGGTGGGAGATAGAGCGGCTTTGCTTCTGAGGCTTTCCAATCTCCTTTAGTTCAGAGTACTCAGCACACTAAAGTGCCATAATTTGGCATGTCGTTTTCTGAGCCCTGACACCTTCATTTCTGTAATTGCTAAAATTTCTTGCCTCATCGACATGGCCAATTTTTAATTATATATCTACATTAGATTCACCTTGTAATTTATTTTTGACCTGGTGGCCATCTGATTTAGAGTTTAGGTAGTAATATTTTATTTCAGGATTTATGAATCAGTTTTCTATTTGACATCTCCCTGACTGTCAAAGTTCTTATGACCTTGACATGGCATTATTTTATGTACTTCCCCAGGCTCATACTCCATCTTAGACACCATTCTTCACTTTATGATTTACTGTCTGTTTGTATGTCCTGTCTATTGGCCATTCACAGGAACACTTCAAATCAATGTTCGCCTTGTGGACCTATGCAAATTACCATCCCGTTTTCTTGACAATCTCTGCTCATGCAGTATCCATTCATGATGGTTTCTTGTCTGCCTTTTCCTAGGCTGCCTTAGAGCTTTTCCATGTTCACATCCTATATTAAATAAAAGGAACATAAAATTAAAGTCCCAATACGAATCATCGAAACTAAACAAGAAACTCTAGACAAAAACATCTACCAGAGAGGAATGACATTGGACAGAATAAAAATGATTAATATTGATTTTGAATGTCTCTCTATACCTAATGGAGTGTGTGTGTAAGTGTACAGGTAAGTAGGAGAATATTTGCTGCTTGGAAAGGATCTCACAATGTAGATGCTGAACTAAACCTCGGTGAAAAGAGATGGAGCTATGCTATCAGGGGCTTATTTACTCTAGCTGCCTTGAGTGGAGGGGCATGATTCCTGTGCCATTGTATATATGCACTTGGCACCCTAGATGCTGGCTTTCTCTGATATGGGAGGGAATGCTGGAAACTCTTCTTACTTGTTAGTAGGTAGCAGGAAAGCCTGTACATCTTGCCACCATGCCATTTCCCAAAGGGCGCTTACCTGCCACCTTCTGTCTCTGTTGTCTTATATCAACCTTTCTGAGTGCAAGCAAGTCAAGTGCTCCATGAATATTTAATTTCATGAACTTGTAGGACTGTTTACTTAGAGTGTCATTTCTGCTTCAGGATAGGTCCATCTTTGATTCATTAAATGTTTTTATGCAATAATTGCTATATTAGAATATTTTCCTTTTGGTTGCTCTGTTGTAAGGCTCTAGAAGTTATGTACACTATGTGTAAATCATGTTGCACATTCATTCTCTTTCTTTACCCCAATCCCCATAATCTCAGTGTACCACATTAACAAAAGCATCCTAAAAAGGAATCCAAGAAAAATGATACACACCATTTGATCAGTAAAGACCATATTATACAGTCAAAGGGACATTAAAACAAACAACAGCAATGCTTAACATGCTGAGCACTTACAAGGTGCTAGGCACATAGAAAGCAATTTGCATATAGTTTAACTAATCTAATAACAAGCTTAAAAGTGTGTAATTATAGAAATACAAAAGCATATGGTTCTTGTTCTCCACTCTAGAGAGGAAAAGGCCAGCTGGCTGGCTCCTAGAGGAATTCACTACCTTTGTGAATTTCTTGAGAACCAGGACCTGGCTCTCAGTCTCATGGGCCTAAACACCTGATCAGCTTAGTGAATGTGGATTCATCTCTCGGGGTGAATCATAAGCCAAGAAGAAATCACCATCAGACAAACCCAATACTCAAACCCACATGCTCAGCGTATGCATCAGTCAGGGGCTCAACAGGAGACAGATGGCATGCTGAAATTAGGATATTTGAGGGAGGGCTTAATAAAAGGAGTTATTTATTAATCATACAAAAGTGTGGGCAGGAGTAGAAAAACCATACAGGATAGTATGGAACTGAAAGCTTGTAAAAATTTCTCTGTTTCCACCTAGGCTTAAGAATGGTAGCCCATTCTCTAGGCCTAAAGGAAAGAGGAGAGGAAGTGGTTTCAATGAGAGAGTCTTGGGGTGAGAGGGCCACCTTGACAAGAGCTGCAATCTTTAGTCAAAGAACTCAGCCAGCCCAAAGCAACCTTACAGGGAGGGAATTGTGAGAATTAATGCCCTGAAATCACTTTTCCTCTCCAGGCTCGAGGCAGGGCTTTCTATTGATGAAGTCCAACAAGAAGCCACAAGGCAAGACTTTTTTAAGGCAGTCTATACAGGTCAGCTTCCTAAAGGGCAGGGTAGAAAGGGTAGAGAGTAAATACAGACAGGCAAAGGAAAATATTTCAGCACTGAATATCTTCTCCTTAAGCCAAACCTGGGTCAGAACCCACTTCACAAATTCATCATGAATAATTACCACACTAGGAGCTAGGAATCCTTAAAGTTAATGTAGTCGGCCCATTGCCCACTGTAGGCAGACTATGTGAGAGGCCAGATCGTGATTAGAAATTTATTGGCAAACATGGACTCAAGGGAAACTAGGGGAATGGAGTGATTTATGATGTCAACCTCTGGGGACTGGACTGCTAAAAGCTATAAAGCCCTGTGGCTTCTATAGCTACAAAACAAACTACTATAAAACTTAGTGACTTAAAACAATAAACAAGTATTTTTAATGATTCCATGGGTTATCTGGGTGGTTTTTTTGGGGCTGGCAACTTCTTTGAGGCTAGATGGTCTAAGATGGCCTCACTTACAGGTATGGGGCCTCAGGTAGGATGGTTGGACAGCTGAGGCCTCTCTACATGCAGGTTCTCATTCTCCAGGAGATTGGCCCAGGCCTGTTCATGTGATGTGGGAATAATTCGCAGAAGCAGAGAAGGCAACCCCACTATGTGAGCACTGTTCAAACGTCTGCTTGTTTATATTTGCTAATACTCCATTGGCCAAAGCAAATCACATGACCAAACCCAGATACATGGGTGGAGGAAGAGACTCCACCTCTTGATGAGAGGAGCTTCAAAATATTGTGGACTTTTTTTTTTTTTTCAATCTACCACACCTTAATTCCACGTTAGGAATGGTCTAACCTGTTGAACAGGAAATACTCAAAATTTCTTCATTGATACTCTTTCTCCCTAACCCAGTGCTTGGAAAATTGTATTTGTGATGTTCTGCTATGTTTTTATGGTTGATTACAACCCTTACTGTGATTGCAGTTGCTACCAGTTCTTACAGCCATTCTGTATTTTGAGATCTATTGGGCCATGAGTCATTGTGTTCATGCTTAAGCTTAATTCTCAAACATAATTTTATTTTCCTTGTTTCTGATTTTTAGGGGACGCTTACATTTAGTTCCCAAGTATTAATAATATGTATTATTATTCTCATTTTACATATTATGGAATTAGGAACACAGACAGTAGAGGTTGCATCAGAATCCAAGTCTAACAGAATCCACAGCCTGCTCTCATATATATATATATATATATATATATTCAGTTGCTTCTTAAAATTTACGTGAAAACACTTTCTAAATATAAAGGAGCATTGTCATCATCATCACTCTTATTAGGATTGTCAGTATTATTGAAAGTAGAGCCCCCCAGTCCACAGTGAGGTAACAGCACTACAGCAGACAATTTCATCCTTCCTTTTTTGTTCTCCTGAGCCAGCAACAAGCACTTCATAAGACTTACATAAAAATCAGTCTTGATTAGAAGGTTCTGAGTTAATGGTTTTCCATTCTATTAAATTGCCACTTATTCTTTTAAATTAGCTGTCATTTCAATAGGGAAGCCAATTGATTGAGCAACCAGGCTATAGGGTGTACAGATTAAGCCATCTGTGGAGCAAGCATGTTTCATGCTCCCATTGTAGTCCATATAAAGGACAAGGACAGGCCCATAGGTTGCTGAACACTTAATCCCTGCCTTCCAGAAAATCACTGTCCAGTTTAGGGCCATCAAATTAAATTTAATTATGAGTTACCTGAGTCAATATTCCTCTATATTCAAATAAATTGTAGGTCTCTTAGTGGCAGGAATTGGGATGTATACTTCTTTTGTGCAGCACCTAACACATAAGGCACATATTAAGTGTCTGAGAATATTGTTGATTGATATATTGATTGAAGGCTGAAAGAAGTTATGAGTAGGGGTTGATGGGGAATAGTGGCTCCTTCTATAAAATACTATTGGTAAACATTAATCTTTTGGATCAGTAAAGAATTAGGTTTGCCTGCACTAATGGATGCCCAAATCAGAGTGGCTTGCAAAACATAGGGAGTTTACTTTTATTTCACATACCATTAAATTTAGCAGTAGACAGTAAAGAGCTATGGAGGCTTTGTGGATGATATCAGTGACACCATCTCCTTGGGTTTTTCTGCTGCATCATCTCAAACACAAGTATTTATAACCATGCATTATCAATTTATCAGCATCTCACAACACATATTTTGGGAAATGTTAATCTAAATTAAATCTTTCATTTTGCAAAATCAATAGAATTTAATTCAGCAAATATTTATTGAACAAACACTGTATGTCAAAAAACTGTTTTTGAAGCCCTGGAAAAGGATAGAGAAGGAAATCAAGATCCTAAGAGGTGAAGCAACTTGAAAGTTGACATATCAAATGAATGGACTGAGCCAAGGCTAGAGTGTGAACCATGTTCCCTTCTTTTAACAAGCATGACTAAACCTCAAATAATTACATAGAGCAGACTTTCAGGCTTTATTATAATAATTCTCCCATTTCAGGTTAGTAAATGTGCCTCAGAGACAGTGAGTAACTTGCCCTAGGTCACCCAACTATCCAGATATTGAACAACAACTCTTTCCTGATCCATGTGACTCCAGATTTTTTAATTTTTACTTTAGTATGTTTATTGTTTTCCTATTTTATCTTTGACATGACAAAATATAGAACCTGCTTCAGGTATGGGAGGTGGCAGGCTCAAAGGAATTCAGTGCTTAAGTTTCAGGTTAGTTCCTTGTCCTAGCAGGGAGCTCATGCAGGAACATGGAAACAGAGGCTTAGACATTCATGAGGTCAGTGAGCTGGCCATCTTTGATGGCAGTTGGCCCACACATTAGGCTGTACCCTGACCATTTGAGGTCACTGTAGAAGCCAGATGTGTTAGTGCCAGACTATTTCAACATTCCTATTGTTGAGACAGAGAGAGAGAGAGAGAGAGAGACTTCAATGCAAGACCCAAACATAATTTTCTTAAGCCCTGAACTTGCCAGATGTATACAGCAGTGGCTTCCATGAGTTTTCCAACACTTCTTTCATTATCCTTTCATTCCTTACTATATACTCTCTTTGTTGTACATGCCTTTTACATCCCTTCCACCACCAAATGCTTTCTAAGGTTTCTCCTTTAGATACGTATTTTGAAGTGTTTCCTTTTTCTTTTCCATTACCAGTCTTCAGTGATGCATTCCAAGATTACTGTCATGGAGAGATCAAACAGGAGACTGTCACCAGACTCTCACATTCCAGTCTCTTTCTCTGTCCTTCTGGAAAAATTTTTAAACCTTATGCTTTTTCTATGTTCAAAATGTCATATATAATACGTAACCTATATTAACATCCTTTACCAAATGTGGCAAAGACTACTAGTGTCTTACCCATAATTATTCTCCTCTTATTTTTTGATTTAAAAAGCCCTAGTTTTGTTTAGGTTAGCAAGGTACCTAGTTAAAACAATAACAACAACAAAAACATCACATTTGTAATACTTCCTTGAAAATATGGATTGCCTACCCATTACAGTAAGAAGAAAACACTGGATGAGCTCCTAGAAAAATCTATTTAAATAGGGATAACTTAGCTAGGAAAACCAGACTGTGGACTTGACTGATATTCCAGCAGCCATCTTGTAATCATGAGAAGAATGGAATCCATTCACTAAGGAGCAGACAGATAGAAGGCACTTTGTCTCTGAGGACTTCATGGAGCTGCCATGACATCTCTGGACAGGTACTTCTAGAATTATTTTTGCTAGAGAGATAAGTCTAAGCCAAATATAGGCATTTTCTGATTAACCTCAATAATCCATCATCGAAAATAAGACATGATACATGAAAATGCTAATGATGTCTAGTTCCCATTATTTTAAATGAGAAAAATCATGGGTTAAAGGTCAACCAAAACCATCTGACCAATTTCTTAAAACAAAACGAAAACACAGTAAAATGCCAATATGCAAATAACAATTGTGTTGATTTGTAAAATACTCAAAATATCACTTTCTAATATACGAACAATCAATACGGTTGTTAACAAACAATTGGATCTTCCACTTTCAGCCAAAATTGAGTTTGAAGAGGCTTCAGAATAAGCCCAATACATCAGCTATGTTTCTTAACATGGAAGCCACAGAAACTGTCCTGCCTGATTTCAGCAGAAGATAATTCATTGAATGTATCTCAGGGCTAGATAATTACCTACAAAATCATAAAAATAAGGCTTGGAAAACAATGAGAACTATGAAGAATGTGGAAAAAAAAACACACACAAAAATATATGAAACAACAGTTTTTAAGACACTAGACATCATGCAAAAAAGGACAGTGATTCCTGAGATCTGAGAAACAAATGAGGTGAACCCTACCATTGGCCCAGCTTACTAACTTCAAATAAATTCCAGGCTGAAGTACAGCGAAGAGGAACTGAGGCAGAGCCAGAAAAATTCCCTGAGTTGAGGAGATGTGGCTGAAGATCTGGCAAGAATCAATGACCTCAACTTCAACCTTAAGAAACTGGAAAAATATGAGCATTATCAAAAGCAAATATAAGAAAGGAAATAATAAAGTTCAGATAAAAAAAGGACTAGAAAAGAGAAAAACAATAGAAAAAAATCATAAAACTATTAGTTGGCTTTTGGAGAAAATCAATAAAATTGATAAAACTCTTGCCAGGTTGATCAGGAAAAAGAGCTAGAGCTAGAGGTGGAGGTAGAGAGAGACAGAAAGAAAGAGAAGACAAATTATCAACATCAGGAACGAGAGAAATGATAGCACTATAGATTCTATAGATAAAGAAAGTTATGAACTACTTTATGCAAATAAATTTGATAAATTAGAATAAATAGACACACTTTTTGAAAGGAACAAACTACCAAAACTCGCAAAGAAATAGATAATTTAAATAGCCATATATCTAGTTTAAATATGTAGTTAAAACTCTTCTCACAAAAAATCCTCAGACGTAGATGCCTTTATTGGAGAGTTCTACCAAACATGTAAGTAAGAAATAACAATTCTTCACAAATTCTTTCATAAAATGGGTGACCATAAACAAGTATACAAGAAAATGCTCAGCCTGATTAGTCATTAGGGAAATAAAAATTAAAACTGCAATGAGAAGTATCTCATACTCCATAATATGCTCCATACATATTAGCATAGCCCAAATTAAAAGATAGACCAGGCCGAGTGTGATGACTCAAGCCTGTAATGCCAGCACTTTGAGAGTCTGAAGCAGGAGGATCACTTGAGCCCAGTAGTTTGAGACCAGCCTGGGCAACATAGTAAGAGACCCTGTCTCTACAAACAAAACAAAACAAAAAAATAACCATTAGCCAGGTGTGGTGGCATATGCCTGTATTCCCAGCTATTTGGGAGGCTGAGGTGGGAAGATCGCTTAAAACCAGGAGTCTGAGTCTGCAGTGAGCTATGATCACACTACTGCACTCCAGCCCAGATGACAGAGTGAGCGAGAACCCCCGCCGGCCCCCTCCTCTCTCTCTCTCTCTCTCTCTCTCTCTCTCTCTCTCTTTATATATATATGTGTGTGTGTGTGTGTGTGTGTGTACATATATAATTGGAACACACTCATTTACTTCTGGTGGGAATGTAAAATGGTACAACCACATTGAATAACACTTTTGTTGTTGTTTAGCTTTAAAGGTACAAGTAGTTTTTGGTTATATGAATGAATTGTATAGCAGTGAAGTGTCACCTTTTAGTGTACCCATCACTCCATTGGTGTATGTTGGACTCAGCAGGTGATTTCTCATCCCTCAAACCTCCACCCTCCCCACTTCTGAGCCTCCAATGTCCATTATACAATTCTGTATGCCTTTGTATACCCATAGCTTACCTCCCACTTATAAGTGAGAATATGTGGTATTTTGTTCTCCATTCCTGAGTTACTTTAATTAGGATAATGGCCTCTAGCTTCACCCAAGTTGCTGCAAAATACATGATTTTATTCTTTTTTATAGCTGAGTAGTATTCCATGGTGTGCGTGTGTGTGTGTGTGTGTGTGTGTGTATATATATATATATCGCATTTTCTTTAGCCACTCTTCAGTTGATGGGCACTTAGATTGATTTCATACCTCTGCAACTGTGAAATGTGCTATGATAAACATATGTGTGTAGGTGTCTTTTTGATATAATGACTTATTTTCCTTTGGGTAGATATCCAGTAGTGGGATTGATGAATTGAATGGTAGATCTACTTTAATTCTTTGAGAAACTTCTACTCTGTTTTCCACAGAGGTTATACTACTAATTTACATTCCTACAAGCAGTGTATAAGTACTGCCTTTTCACCACATCTGCACCAATATCTTTTGTTTTTTGACTTTTTAATAATGGCCATTCTGGCTGGGATAAGGTGTTATCTCACCGTGGTTTTAATTTGCAATGGAAAACATTTTTGATGGGTTTTTAAAAAAAGTTAAATATACACCCAGCCATATGACCCCACATTTTACCATAGGTATTTACCCAAGGGAAAAATAAGAGTATATGACTATACAAATACTTGTATAGGTAGATCATAGGACCTTTTTTTTCTTTCATAATAGCCAGAAACCAGATATAACCCAGATGCCCATCAGCTGGTGAGTTAAATAATCAATTATGAAGTATTTATATAACGGGATACTACTCAGCAGTAAAATGGAATGAACTATTGATACACAGTGAATCTCAAAATGAATATGCTGAGTGACAGAAGCTGGACAAAAAAGTGCTTATTAATATATATCGTATGATTCTATTTATATAACATTCTACAAAATGCAATTTAATTTATAGTGACAGATAACAGATCAATGCTTTTCCAGGTAGGGAGGTTTGGAGCTGTGAGGGGAATGAGGAAGTTATTCTAAAGGAACACAAGGACACTTTGAAAGTGATGAACATTTTTATTATTTTGATTGTGATTTCGGTTTCATGTATGTCAAAATTACCAAATAGTATACTTTAAACAGTTGCAGGTTATCATATGCCAATTATATCTCAATAGAGTTGTTTTTCAGAAAGCAATTGTTTTATTTTCAGTTTCTCAACTTTTCCTAGCATCAGTAGCACGATAGCTTTACATCCCCTTTGTCATCTCTTTTCAAAATGTCTTCTTCGCATATTATGACATTTTACCAATTGTATTTGGAATGTTTCTTAAAACTTCTCTGACACAGTATTTTGTTTTAAAATGTTACAAATGTTTAGATGTTAAAAACTGTCTTAATATAATTTTAGCTATATAAATATAAGACAAAAAATGATCTACAAATGCAAGGTATAATACTTACATTTATAACTTGGGTTCAGCAGAAAGCAGAGCTGAGGCTTCTGGAGCTATTCACTTGCACTTTATTAGGGATACAATTCCGGGGAGCAGGAGAGAAACAAAGAGAGTGCAGCAGCTAAAGGAGAACAAATACACAATTGTGCTGTTGAACTTACTGTTGCTAAGTGCAGCAGAATGCTAGGTTTGTGAAACTCAGCCTCCAAGTACATTCAAGGACTCTACTGGGAGCAATATGTGGATAAAAAGGAAGGATTTATCCACTGGTTCCTGTTTCCTACTGGGCAAAGGTTTACTCCACAGGATATTAATTTGCCTATACTTCTGGATTATGTAGGCCAGGGTGAGGGCACAGGGCAGTGAACCAAAAAGAGAGGCTTTAGGAGCAGGCAGGAGGCAACGACACTTCTGCTTGGGACTGTATAAAGAAAAGCCCTCATTGAACTGCCTGCCACCACAACAGCTGAAAAAAAAAAAAAAGGGAAAAAGAAACAGAAAAAAGGGAAAAAAACGCGAAGCTAAGAGGATCTGAAATGATACAGCAGATATATCTGAAACATGTATGTTCTATAGCTATTAAGAACAACGGTAAGCCTAAAACAAAGTATTTTTTCTATGTCCTAGGTAACATATGTAACCTATAGCTCATCCTATTTGACATATGTATCCTACTAATTTGTTTTACATGAATACACTCTTAATCATGCTTGTGGCATTCATCTCTGAGGTACACTAAATTTACCTGGATCACTTTTATAAACTATTGACTTCTGTGCTCCATCACACAGCAATCAAAACAGAACATCTGAGACGGGCTGAGTATCACTATTTGTAAAGACTTCCAAGTGATTCTAATGTGTAGCCAAGGTAGAGAATCATTGAACCACTTCAGTCTTCCAGCTGTACATTGTGTGTTCCATGTTTTTACCAATTCCAAATACTATTCACACCTTCACTACTTAATAGAATGCTATTTTCTTTCTCTAAGTACTACCCATTATTCAGAGTTCTTTTTAAATCTTATCTCACCTACATATCTTTTCCTAACCATTTTATCCTTCATGATTTTTCCCTTATTTGACTCCATCATCTGTATTAGCAAAGCATCTTCTATATCCACCTTAGCAGTCTGTAGTAAAACCCTTTTTTATTTCTTTCCGAACTTAATTGCTTTCCTCTCTTTCCTTCAACTTTTGGAATCCTCAATGTTAACATACACCTGTTCTCAACACAAAGCTTTCAGGATAAGATTCCCCTGAAAATTGTGTTAGTTCTGTTTATTTTGAACAAGTTCAGTGGGGCAAACGGATTTTAAGATGGCCCAATAATCTCTACTTTTGTATGTTCAGGCCCTTGTATAATCCTTTCCCCTGGAATGTGGGTGAAATCTGTGACTTGCTTCTGACCAAAAAAATATGGCAAAGGTGATAAGATGTCATTCCCATGACTATGTTTCATTATATAAGGCTCCATCTTATTAACAGTCTCCTTAAATTACTGGTTTTGAAGAAGTTTCCAAGAATTCTACAGTTACAAAGAATACAACCTGGGAGAACTTGGAGGTAAATAATTCCTCACTTAAGCCTCTGATGAGAACCTGGTCTGGCTGATACTTTGATTCCAGCCTTGTGAAACCCTAAACAGAGGACCAAGTTAAGCAGTGATCTGACTTCTGACTTACTAAAATCAGGATATTACATGTGTGCTGTTTTAAGCCATTAAGTTTGTGGTAATTTAGTACATAGCAATAAAAAATTAATACATACTTTGGTACTAGAAATGGGATGCTTTTTATCTGAAGTGGAATTCTGTTGTAAAATACCTAAAAGTGTAAGAGTGGCTTTAGAATTGGGTGGGTGCACACTGGAAGAATTTGGAGAACAATAGAGAAAGTATAAATTGCCTTGAGTGGACTGTTAGTAGAAATCTAAAGTTGAAGCATGCTCCTGGTGAGGGTGAGAGCTCAGAAGAAGTGAGGAATAAGCCATTGAAAACTGGAGGAAAGAGAAACCCTTGTTAAGTAGGAGAAGAAAACTCAGAAGAATTGTCTCCTGCATTTATATGTAAAGCAGAACGTGTAAGTGATGAACTTGTTTATCTAGTTAAGGAAGTTTACAAGAGAAGTATTGAAGGTGCTGTCTCGTTTCTTCTTGTTGCTTACAATAAAATGTGAGAAGAGAGAAATAAATCAAAAGAAGAACAAAAATGAACAAGAACTTGATGATTTTGAAAATCCGGTCTCTTCAAATGGCAAAAAGTTAATGGCTGAAATTAAGATGGCTTGGTCTAGAGAAAAACTTGACCTTATGACTCTACAACGTTTTGCTAAAATTTCAGAAAAATCAAAGTATCAGAATATTCAGCCACACAAAGGACCCTTTCAAGAGATTAAGGGTGTGGCTCACAAATCTTAATCTGTAGGGCTTTTGTGCTCTTGTGGAATCCCTTCCCCTTAAATGTTGGTGGAATCTGTGATTTGCTTTTAACCAGTAGAATACAGGAAAGGTGATAGATTACCACTTCTATGATTGTGTTATGTTATATAAGACTCCATTTTGCTAGCAGTCTCATTTTCTTTATTGCTGGCTTTGAAGAAGAAAGCTTTCATGAATCCTACACATACAAGGAAATAAATTCTGCCAACCTGAGGGAGCTTGAAAGTAGAGCCTTCTTCAGTCAAGCTTCTGATGAGAACTCAGTCCTGATAAACATCTTGATTAGAACTTTGAGAGACACTAAGCAGAGGCCCCAGCTAAGTCGTGCCCAGACTCCTGACCCACAGGAACTGTGAGATAATAAGGATTAATTATTTTAAATTACTAAAGTTGTGGCAATTTGTTATGCAGAACTAGAAAACTAATACAATCTGACTATTTATTGCTATATTTTAGTCACCATTTCTAGTCAGCTAAGCAACAGGTAAATTATGAGATTATAGTTGCCTTCCATTTTTAGACATTTGTTTTCATTTCTTTCTTATCCACAATCTGCACATGTGGACATTGAGAGTTGAAGCCAAATTTCCTGACCCTCAGAGCACTGGTTCTTAAATTTTAGTGTGCATCAAAATCACCTGAAAAGCTTGTCAAGATACAGATTGCTGGGCCCCAGCCCTGGAGTTTTTGATTCAGTAGATCTGGCATGGGGCCCAAGAATCTGCACATTTAGTAAGTTCTCAGGTGATGCTACTGCTGCTAGTCCAGGACCAATACTTTGAGAACCACTTCTATAGACCATCTTTACCATGGTTCTTCTTTCTGTGGCCTCCATGATATTCATTTTTGCAGTTTACTCTGCCGCTCTTCTCATGATGACTAATATTGTAATCTGCTGGAATTTCTAGGTTCTGGCTGGCAGTTGCCATGGCAACACACACAGGGTTGCCCAGTGCCTGAGGCCCTGAGTGAGGATGGCACCAGATGAATCACCGGAATAAGTGACTTGCAAGGGGCACAGACACTTTTCCCTGAGTTGTCCATTTCCTTCTGTGACCCTTATTCTTGATCTTTTCTTTTTTTGGTAATGTCTTTTTTGAGACCCCCTCCAGATTCTTCTCTATATAACGTAATAATGATGAAAACTTCGATTCATGTCATTCTTCACATTTATTAAACAAGCAATACCCTTTCCAGCACAAAATCAACTTTTATTTGCATAACAACCTTGTGAGGTGTGCTGTATAGGTCTTGTTATTCCCATTTACAAATAGTTAATGTAAAGCTCAAAAACATTCAGAGATAACTGATATCCAAAGTTACACAAGGTAGAGAGTGGCAGAGCCAAGTCTGGAGGCCAGAACTCCTGATTTCTAGCTCAAAGCTTGTATCACCCAGGGCCCTAGCAAGAAAAAATTTCACAGTCAAAAGGATAACTGAAGAGAGCTTAACAAAGGGAACCCATGAGCGATGGTGACATACCCCAGGCTAGCAACTATCCTGGAGGGTCAAGAGGATAGAGTGGTTTAGTAAAACCTGGAAAGAGATATAGCTACAGGTGTAGCTGTAGGAGGACACCCAACAAAAAGGCTGTGGCCTTTAGTGGAGGAATGCAGTCACTGCCAACCCAAAGCCTGTAAGGAAGGGTGCCAGAGCAATGAACAACCCAACTTCTCTCCCCAGATTATGAGGGAGGCTTAAGATGAGGTAGAGACATTTTGACTTACCACTGTCTGATTAGGTCATTGCAGGTTTATGAACAGGGAGCAATACATGAAAATGAGGCCTTAGGAAAATTGGACTGGCAGCATCATGCTGGGCTGGTTGGAGGGAGAAGCTGGAGCTACGGAGATCAGTCAAAAGGATGCTACAGAGCTTAGAACATCTTCCATTTCTATCCACACTGAAGTGGGTCTGAACAAAATGGGCAAAGGCAGACATGAATGTTGTGGAAGGGTGTTGTGCTCCCATCCCTAGGGCATTTTTGTTTGAAGGAAATATCCCACTAGACATTCATATTCAATATTGATCTTAAAGCCTTTTCAGGATTTAACTGGGGTATGACTGGCCTTTTGGCCTTGATTTGGGTTCTGGAAAAGCAGACTCAGAGAGAGGGATTCAAGTATAAGTGGTTTATTAAGGAGGTGCAGGAAATACCAGCAGGGAAATAATAAGTGAGGGAGGGAAACCAAGAAAGGGGATATTACTAAATCAGCTATCACAGTGAGTGACTGCCACTTAAGACCAAGAGTAAATTCCAGGAACTAGTGTAAAATGCATACCTCAGAATCATTCCACTTGAGCGGTGAAGGAGTTGAAACATTTGTATACCAACTCCTGAGCATCACTGGTTGATGCATGCTCCCGGGAAGCAATAATTCCTGACACTTCCAGCCTGCCACATACAAAGGCAGAATTACCTTCCGTGGTTCTGGAAACAGCTTCCTGACGCAGAAATGCAGATAATGGCAGTTGGAAGTCATTTTGAGCACAACGAACTGGACATGGGTGGAGAATTGACAGTACCTGCTACATTTTCATTTGCAGGATTGTGTTCATCAGCACTACGGTCTCTACCCACTTGATACAGTACCTACCCTGCCACGTCCACATGGAATTCAACTTGCTCATGCACAAAATCAAGTCAGCACGATTGTTTTGAAAGTTGTAGCATTGTTGGATAAATACCATAATGGGCAGCAGAATTTGTAGTAAAACACAGGAGGTAAATTTTGGTAATTTTTAAAGGTTTCAGAGGAGAGAAAAGACATATTACCAAATGGCCAGGGGATCAATGTAGCTACCGTATCTGTTTGTGGCTA